CAAAGACTCCGCAGCTGTGGTGAGGTAGCCCCTGTTTAGCATTCCTGGTTAAAATTAACAATTCTAAACTCTTATTTTTCTAAATCTTTAACTATAACCACTTTTAGAATAATATTTTTGTGTTTTCTAATAGGGCTTCCTCACCCCCCCGAAGGGCTCTGTGCCTATTAGGGCCTTTTGTGTGATCAGATTCTTTATGCTGTTTATGATTAAGGTGTCGTGAGCAGTCATGTGCATTAGTACACATTTGCCAAGCAGGCTAGAATGCCAGCAAAGGGGTCTAAATTGAAACACGCCTTTCATCCTGGATAATCTTATAGGATACCGCCGTCTGGGGGACATGTTGATTAAAGTTCTACGTTGATTCTGTTTGGAGAGAGATTGGGGAAGGCCGTCTACCTGTGTCACAGAAATTAGGAAGTAGTCTAATATAGCGAGCATCAGAAAGACAGAGCTCATCTTTAAGGTGAGCGCCGGGGCAGCTTTTCAAAATCTGAAGTCCTGATCTGCCTTGTTTGTCAGGTCTTCTCCTCATGACCTTGTCATGGGTGGGATCTCGTGTGCTGGCTCCTGGCAATTAGACTCTTTTATTTCCAAGAAGGAACAGAACCACAGAGAGGCTGGGAGATTTGCACACACTCCTCTTATAAGAAGTAAAAGACCCAGAACTCAATCATTAATATGCTTATTTCTTTTGCACCAGTTCTCTGTCATCTCCATACAGCTAAAACATATTTCTTTTCAAACCTATTTTGGCCCCTGAGGTAAAATGAAGGTAGAAGAATTGATTCATCCTTTTTGGTTCAGGGACTTCTCTGTGAACTGTGGGACTGACACAGCATTTACAGAGGCCATAATGGCCCTAACATGAAGGATTATAGGGTTTTCAATGACTCATTATGCATTTTGCCTTCCAGTTTTGAATGTAAGGTTGAAAAGATTTCCTATACAAGATGAAAATATCAACTGCACCTATTATGAAATTATCACAAGACAGACTTCAAAGATATTTTCAAAAGATAGGCTAATAAAAGAGAATGCAGTTGGCAGAAAATGATTTTTCTTTTGAAAAAAAAATTATGCAATTAACATTAGTAAATCTGATTATGTCCCAACTGTTGAAACTGGGAAGACTGTCACTCACATATGATATACAAATTCCCATTTGTATGATACAGAGAGAAGTATAGAATTTTCATTGGACTGTTGTAAGCAGAAACTGATACAAATAAAAATATAATACATGAAATATAAATTAAATATTTATTTAATATATCAATAAAATATATTAAATAATGTATTATATTTAAATATATGAAAGATATATCAGAAATTTGTTAACTTTATAATAATGTTTATAGTATAAATTTATGAACTGAACAAAATGTTTTCTTTTTGTGTGTCAGGAAAATATTTGAAGTATTGTTTGTAGTTCACAAAGAGACTTAAGCAAAACATTGTGGTAAACAAGTTCATTTCAGGGGCAATATGGATAGTATTCTGTTTAGAGAAGATTTTACAAAAGCTGGTTATAGACACATAAATGAATACTGACATTATGAAAGCATTTCCAGGGAAACATACCCATCAAGTTCATGGCACTGGTTGCTTTTGGCAATGTGTATGCTGAGGAATGGGATGGAGCTGAGACACCAAAGAAAAGTTAAATTTTATCTTAATGTTTCAAATCTCTATGAAATATGAGATCTGAAGCAAATATTATTAAATGTATATACTTTAAAATAGGTAGGGGTTACTGATCATAGCATTAACTGGTAAGATTAACGGAGCTTCTACTAATGGTTGGGCAATGTTCTTAGGCAGTATTTGTCAAGCCCAGCTTCACAACACGGTGACCAGTAAAGTCACTTGTAGATCCTAAAATTGGTTCTAGACTGAGGCTGGGGTAACTGAGTATTTTTAAAAAGACACATGTAAATTCGAAGAAGAGAGTGGCAACTCACTCCAGTATCCTTGACCAGAAAATCCCATAGACAGACAGGTCTGATGGGCTATAGTCCAGGGGATCTCAAAGGGTCACAGCTGACTTAGCGACTGAACAGCAACAAAAACAGCAACACATAAATTATCAACCAACACATAAATTTCAGTATTGGAACTGAAAACCACTTGTTTAAGCAATATAAATGATTTTTAAGACTTTATTTCAATAATCCTATTAGTGGTTGGTTTAGTTGCTAAGTTGTGTCCAACTCTTGTAACCACATGGACCAAAGCCTGCCAGGCTCCTCTGTCCATGGGATTCACCAGTTAAGAATACTGGAGTGGGTAGCCTTTCCCTTCTCCAGGAGATCTTCCCAACCCAGGGATCAAACCAAGGTGTCCCACATTGCAGGCAGATTCTTTACCAGCTGAGCCACAAGGGAAGCACAAGAATACTTTGTCTAGGAGGGATAAGAGTGGGCAGCCTATCCCTTCTCCAGTGGATCTTCCCCCATCCAGGAATCAAACTGGGGTCTCCTACATTGCAGGTGGATTCTTTACCAACTGAGCTATGATTGAGCCACCAGGGATAGTATAATATTCCTATTAGGAAGACCCAATTATTATCACAATTTTAGAGATCAAGAGATGGCCCAGAGGTGTTTACATTATATTAATTAGAATTTTTTCTCAGTTAAATCAGAATGTGACCTGCTAAAATAATGAAGCTGAGTTACTTTCAGGCAGCAGAAGTAAGAGAATTGTAATCCCTTTACCAGGAAGGATTGACATGAAAATCTGTTAACTCAACCTAAGAAGGCTGGGTCCTGACCTGGCTGTGGGACCTTCTCTGGGACTGAAGCCCTCTTCTGTAAACAGGCAGGTTTATGATCAGAAGAACCACACCATCAGGTATATGAAAAGGGACACATCAGTTAATACTGGAAATGCAAGTCTAAAGCTAAACAAAAGTTCATCTCACATCTCTTTGGATGACTTTTTAAAGAAAAAACTTAAAAGAAAACAAATATTGGTGAGAATGTGGAAGTGGGGGAACACTTGCACCTGATCATTGAGAATGAATATTGGTACAGTCATTACAGAAACCAGAATAGAGTTTCCTTAAAAATTAAAAACTGAAACTAATTGAAATAGATCTGCCATAGGCCCCAGCAACCCCACTTCAAGGTAGATGCCAAAGAAATAAAATTAGATGTCAAAAAAATAAAATTAACTCAAAGAGACAAATGCATTTCTTGTCAATGTGATGTTATTTGAAATACTGAAAATATAGATAAATGTCTATTGACAGATGAATAGGTTTAAAAAAAACAGCTAATAATTCTGGCTATGTTCCTGAAATCTGCTAACAGAGATCTGCTTGACTGTTACTACACACACACAAATAGAAACTATTTCTATTTGAAGTGACAGGTATGTTAATTAATTTGACTGTGGTAATCAATCCCAAGGTCCCTGTATATTAAATCATCACTTTGTATATCTTTTAAAAACCTTCATGTTGCACAACTCAAATATATGCAGTTTTGTCAATCACTTCAATAAACTGAAAAAAGAAGACAATGAAGTTGTATTATCCTGCAAGGACAGAATAATGTCCAAAAATATTACATTGGTTTCTCATATCAGACATTTAACTGAGACAGTAGTGAAACAAATAATCCTATATATAATTTTAAAATTTCCTGAAGGATTCTTAAATTTTGTTATCATTTAAAAATTGAAAGTGCTCTGTATACTAACACCATATTTGTAGTCACCAGCCCTGTATGATCATAAGTGCTTAGTTAAACCATAATGATCAAAATTTGAAGCACACCAGAACCTGCCTGCCAATTCAGGAAACATAAGAGACGTGGGTTCGATACCTGAGTCAGGAAGATCCCCTGGAGGACCGCATGGCAACCCACTCCAGTATTCTTGCCTGGAGAATCCTATGGACAGAGAAGCCTGGTGGGTTACAGTCCATAGGGTCACAAAGAGTCGGACACAACAGAAGCAACTTAGCAAAGTCAAAGATATGAAGTCTATACTAAATGACTTTTTAAAAACAACTGTGGGACAAGTGTTCCAGTGGCTAAGACTCTGCAATCTTAATGCAGCACACACTGGTTTGATCTCTGCTCCAGGAACTAGATCCCACATGCCCCAACTAAAGATTTCTTATCTGCAAGGGAGATCAAAGATACTGCATGCCCACAACAAAGACATGGCATGTATAAGTAAATAAATAAATATGTTTTAAAAGAAGATAATCCTGATTTTTGAATAATCAATTATTTCATGAAGTAAGGAAGACAGAAGGAACAAAGGATGATCTAAAACTCTGAATGTAGTATAAAAGTATGTTCTGGTTAGGGGCATTCATTTTTAATTTAGAATCCAGATGATACTGTCCTGCATTTCATAGGGATTTGTTAATATTCTAAATGAAGGAAATATCGAAAATTGTATATGAGTAAAATAAGATATATATAAATATGTTCTAATTTCTGTACATTTGAATTATGCATTTTCTTAGAGGGAGAAGGAAATTTCTGATCCTGTATTGTTTCTAAAGAAGTAGGAGGTATTTTACTGAGATCATGGATGTAATACCTCTAACATTCTTGTTACCTTTAACTTTTGGGTCCAATTTTATAAAGGAAGAGTGTATAGACACAGGTGAATAACACAGAAACCAATGAAGGAACAATTCTAAACAGAATGTATTACACTGACAGATATTGCTGAAGGAACTAGAGTGTATAATCTTAGAAATGAATTGCTTGAATCCAAAATATGGACACAGTGCTCAATGCCCATTTACTTATTTCCTTTGTTTCCAGACCTCTTTTCTTTTTCCAGAGGTGTCCAAGATACACAGAACTGGAAATCTAACAAGCATCTCAGAATTCTTCCTCATGGGACTCTCAGATGATCCAGAACTGCAGCCTTTGCTCTGTGTCCTCTTCCTGTCCATGTACCTGGTCACTGTGCTGGGGAACCTGCTCATCATATTAGCCGTCACCTCTGACCCCCACCTCCACACCCCCATGTACTTCTTCCTCTCCAACCTGTCCTCGGTTGACATAGGTTTCATCTCCACCACAGTTCCCAAGATGATTGTGGACATCCAATCTCACAACAGAGTCATCTCCTGTGAAGGATGCTTGACTCAGATGTCTATTTTTATCCTTTTTGCGTGTATGGATAGTATGCTTCTTACTGTGATGGCCTATGACAGGTTTGTGGCCATCTGTCACCCACTGCACTACATGGTCATCATGAACCCACGCCTCTGTTGCTCCTTAGTTTTGTTGTCCTTTTGTGTTAGCCTTTTGGACTCCCAGGTGCACAATGTGATTGTGTTACAACTTACCTGTTTCAAGGATGTAGAAATTTCTAGTTTCTTCTGTGATCCTTCTCAACTGCTCAACCTTGCTTGTTCTGACACTTTCACCAATAACATAGTCAGCTATACCATCGGTGCCATGACTGGTTTTCTGTCTATCTCAGGAATCATTTTCTCTTACTATAAAATTCTTGTCTCCATTCTGAGAGTCCCCTCATCAGGTGGGATATACAAAGCCTTTGCCACCTGTGGTTCTCACCTGACAGTTGTTTGCTTATTTTATGGAACATCCCTGGGTGTGTACCTCAGCTCAGCCATCTCACAGTCTCCCAGGAAGGATGCAGCAGCCTCGGTGGTGTACACTGTGGTCACCCCCATGCTGAACCCCTTCATCTACAGCCTGAGGAACAAAGACATCAAAAGGGCCTTGTGGAGGTTCCTTAGCAGCACAAACTCATCTTAGGATATGGCAACCCATTTGAGTGTATACTAGAAAATGTAGCAAAACTAAATCTGGAGCTCTGAAAATTCTACCTCTTTCATGACATCATTTTTATAGTTCTTATGGCCTTCATGTCTCTCCTCACTTTCTACCTGAATATTACTTCTCTATAGCTTATTCCCCTGCCAATGCAGGAAACACAGGTTCAATCCCTGAGTCCAGAAGATCCCTGGGGGAGGAAATGGCAACCCACTCCAGTATTCTTGCCTGAGAAATCCCATGGACAGAAGATCCTCGTGGGCTATAGTCCACAGGGTCACAAAGAGTGAAACAAGACTGAGCACACACACACACACACATGTTTTAACATGACAGTGAAGAGTTCTAGATCCTTTTTGTATCAAAATCACTCCTTGACAGAATCTCATTCTATCTGTAAAGATTCTATATTTTTATTTTTGGTAGCCCAAGCATCCTCAAAAGATGAATAATTCCCCTTTAATATACCAAAAATTTACCAATTTTCCAAGCTCTTATATATTTTCAAGAGTAAATTCTATTCTCAAATCTTCACATGCTGTTATTTGAGCTACATGTCACTGCTCCTCAGCCTTGACTTTTATTGCAATCATCTGGGAAGTTTAACATACTGACCACTGGGTTTCTCCACCAGAGTTTCTGATTCAACTGGACCCGGGTGTGATCCAAGCATGAGGATTTATTTTTCACTTATTTTTATTAGTTGGAGGCTAATTACTTTACAATATTGTAGTGGTTTTTGCCATACATTGACATGAATCAGCCGCTCTCAGGTGGTTCTAGTGTGTGCCCACAGTTCACAACTACTGATCCAAGTCAAGTCTCTCTTTCAAAGGTGAACTTTATGCCTTGGGTCCTAACATTCCTCATGGACAAATGCTGAATATCCAAAAAGAGATCAGAGGTCAAAGGGGGAAGAAATGAAGACCCTGATGTGGTAATAAGCAATGCATTTTCCCCATTATTTCCAATAAATTTCTTCACATAGCTTCTCTACATAGTACACCTGGCCTATGCTTTAGGGTGGGGCATTTGAAATCACATTCCACCTTGTGGTCTATGTCCCATCTTGTGTTCATCTTAACACACATTCAGCAGTGGCCTGCAAATGTCTCTTCACTCTAAAAGCTCAACGGGTCCCTTTATACCCCTCTGGCCCTCGGTAGAGTAGCTTTGTCCTTTAGTTATGATCACTATGGTACCACTTTTTTCTTTCTTGTCTTTCAGTCTTTCAATAACATTTTAACCAACTCTCTATATTAAATATTCATCTATAAACAGCTAATTGGTTTCTATTGCTTTTTTGACTGAACCTTTACTGATATTGTAGCATGGGATATAAAACTACATTGTACGATGCCTGCAGTTTCATGATTACAAAACATGCATAGGTAAGAAGGGTGATTATCCATAATATGTCTTAGTCATGGGTAACCAACTGAAAAATAGGTGATGATATTATTTTTCCAATTACACATGGCTCTAATGATGCCTAAAGATCATTAAATCACCCAAGTCATCACAACAAATGTATCTTCTTTTATATTACTGTGGGATTCCAAAGGACCACATTGTCAGAAAAGGGAGTGTTTCCTTTGAGAAGTGGCTTCCTGGTTAGGACTTCACTATGCTTCCCTGTCTTCAATCAAGATAATTCAGTTTTGGGGCTCCTTTTGTTTTCTACAAGATAAGCTTTAGAAACTCCTTAGAGATGTCACACATCATTTTTGTGGTAGTTATCTTGGTGTTGTGAAAGCTCTCTATAACTAAATTAATTTGCTTTTCATTTTTCAGCCAAGGTTAAACACTTATCCACTGCATTGATTGAGACATAAATTGTAAAGAAGGGAATCCATGTAACAGAAGATGAATTCATATTATTCAGTGGGAAAAGATACAGCACATTAAAATTACTAGTACTTTTAAAACATTATGTTAAATATATGTCCGAAAAGATTATATTTATTCTCCATTCATCCCAGCAAATCATAGGCAAGGAATCTTGGAAAAGGCCAAAGGAAAGTTGCTTTCTTTTGTATATGGTTTAATTTCAAGGATGCTCTGAAAAATTTTCTAGCTGTTATTTTCAGACTGCACCATCATAAAGATTTCTAGTAAACATATGAATTTTTCAATTTGAGAATATTAGAATATACACATTTGAGTATTAATCTTATACTCTCTACAACATTCGTGAAATGCCTTTCCATGATGTATAATATTGGCAAAATGGAGTAAATACACTTGCAATACAAGGTTGGGTGAAATTACTGCTATATTTAAAAAGGATAACCAAGAAGGACCTACACGGAACTCTGCTCCAACATGTGGGAGCCTGGATGAGAAGGGAGTTTGGGGGAGAATAGTACATGTATTTGCATGGCTGAGTCCCTTTGCTGCTCACCTGAAACTATCACATAGTTAATCACCTATATCACAGAAAAAAATTAGGTCCAAAAGAAAAAAATTTGGGGTGAAATTAAATGATTAAAAAACACTGTGAACATAATTTTGTTTAAAGATGTTCCCAAATGACTAGAAAATGGGATAAATTAGATTTCACCTTGTCATACAGGACAACTTTTTTGCGACTGATCTGTCTTACTGTCCTCTTTTTCTGGTTATTGTTCCATTCCACTAATTCTTCTGGAACAGTGGTAAACACAAGAACATTCTTCTGGATTCAGAGGCACCTGTTTGCCAACAAAAATAGAGCACAAGTTTTTCCTAGCTTTATTGAGAAATCATTGACATATAACATTGTGTAAGGGCTCAGACAGTAAAGACCAAAAACTATAAAACTCCTAGAGGAAAATATAGGCAAAACACTCCCTGACATAAACCACAGCAGGATCTTCTATGACCCACCTTCCAGAGTAATGGGAAAAAAAGCAAACATAAACAAATGGGACCTGATGAAACTGAAAAGCTTTTGCACAACAAAGGAAACTATAAGCAAGGTGAAAAGACAGCCTTCAGAATGGGAGAAAATAATAGCAAATGAAGCAACAGGCAAAGAATTAATCTCAAAAATATGCAAGCAACACCTGAAGCTCAGTGCCAAAAAATAAATGACCCAATCAAAAAAATGGGCAAAAGAACTAAACAGTCATTTTTCCAAAGAAGACATACAGATGGCTAACAAACACATAAAAAGATGCTCAACATCACTCATTATCAGAAAAATGCAAATCAAAAACACAATGATGTACCATTACACACCAGTCAGGATGGCTGCTATCCAAAAGTCTACAAGCAATAAATGCTGGAGAGGGTGTGGAGAAAAGGGAACCCTCTTACACAGTTGGTGGGAATACAAACTAGTACAGCCACTATGGAGAACAGTGTGGCGATTCCTTAAAAAACTGGAAATAGAACTGCCATATGACCCAGCAATCCCACTCCTGGGCATTCACACTGAGGAAACCAGAACTGAAAGAGACACATGTACTCCAATGTTCATTGCAGCACTGTTTACAATAGCCAGGGAATGGAAGCAGCCTAGATGTCCATCAGCAGACGAATGGATAGGAAAGCTGTGGTATATATACACAATGGAATATTACTTAGCTATTAAAAAGAATACATTGGAATCAGTTCTAATGAGGTGGATGAAACTAGAGCCTATTATATCGAATGAAGTAAGTCAGAAAGAAAAACACCAATTCAGTATATTAATGCATATATATGGCATTTAGAAAGATGGTAACAATGACCCTAAGAGACACCAGAAGAGACACAGATGTAAAGAACAGAGTTTTGGACTCTGTGGGAGAAGGCGAGGGTGGGATGATTTGAGAGAATACCATTGAAACATGTATATTATCATATGTGAAACAGATCACCAGTCCAGGTTCAATGCATGAGACAGGGTGCTCAGGGCTGGTGCACTGGGATGACCCTGAGGGATAGGATGGGGGTCAGGATGGGGAACACATGTAAATCCATGGCTGATGCATGTCAATGTATGGCAAAAACCACTACAATATTGTAAAGTAATTAGCCTCCAATTAAAATAAATAAATTAAGTTTTTTTAAAGATGATGTAATGGAATACTACTCTTCCATAAAAAGATTGAGATTTTGCAGTTTGCAACAACCTGGATGGATTTGTAAGGTATTATGGGAAATAGATGGGGAAACAGTGGAAACAGTGTCAGACTTTATTTTGGGGGGCTCCAAAATCACTGCAGATGGTGATTGCAGCCATGAAATTAAATGATGCTTACTCCTTGGAAGGAAAGTTATGACCAACCTAGATAGCATATTAAAAAGCAGAGACATTACTTTGCCAACAAGGTCCGTCTAGTCAAGGCTATGGTTTTTCCAGTGGTCATGTATGGATGTTAGAGTTGGACTGTGTAGAAAGCTGAGCACCGAAAAATTGATGCTTTTGAGCTACGGTGTTGGAGAAGACTCTTGAGAGTCCCTTGGACTGCAAGGAGATCCATCCAGTCCATTCTAAAGGAGATCAGTCCTGGGTGTTCATTGGAAGGACTGATGCTGAAGCTGAAACTCCAATACTTTGCCACCTGATGTGAAGAGTTGACTCATTGGTAAAGACCCTGATGCTGGGAGGGATTGGGGGCAGGAGGAGAAGGGGACGACAGAGGATGAGATGGCTGGATGGCATCACCGACTCGATGGACATGA